TAGACTGTTAATTGCTTTTTAGTGAATACAACTTTTTTAGGTGCATTAAGCTGGGTATATAGAGAGGAGCAACTTACTTTCGGAGTCGGATGACTCCGTGTTTGCTGCCTGAACAGGATATCAATTAAGGCCGAATACAGAGCCTTCAAAGAAGCTCCCCTTGTATCGGAATACAATATGATACCGAGGTTTCAGGTCGTAGTAGGCGTAAAAGTTCCGCCAATTGGTGCCTTAAAAGCCTTGAATCTGGCCATTGTAGGTATCCAGTTGTAGTGTTATCAGCTCATTCCGTAACAGGGTAGTCAAAGTTATGCTGGAATCATCTGTTACATGAGACCATTCCAAAATAAGACCATTTTATTAAATGTTGTCCAATTTAAAATCAAACAATAAACTACGAGAAAAAAAAAATATATTTAATGCAGGGTTCTATGGAGTTTCACATACCGCTGACTAGTACGACAGTTCGTCAACACAAAGATAATAGCTAGCCACACGATTCATGAGGTTGCTATGGTGGATGACAATCTGATTACCATCAGCTCCAAAGTTAACTGCTCGGATTTTGTAGTGTCCTGTTACGGTGATATGAATAAAGGACCCTGCTGAAATGTGCATCTCATTTATGAACTGAAACAATGCTATTCCAAACAGCTTAATCCTCCCCTTTTTGGTGACCTGACAGTCAACTTGATAATGACGGCGTAGAGTCTGGATAAGTATGGTTGTGCTGGGATTCCCTAAAAATGCATTTGTTAGGAGGTGTGACAGTATCTATTTGTAACCAGCATGCGAATGTCAATTTTGGATAAGAAATAAAGTACTGCATATGTTATTCATTATTTGAGATTGCAAATCTGAGTGATTTGTCTTACCAAACCAGCGGTGAACATAGTCTCTGGTACCCGATGTAGGAGTTCAAAATGGTGTGCCATTTCTTTGACCTCCAATGAGATTTGTAGTTGTGAATATTCGATTGTTGTTTTATATTCTGAAATGGATGCAAATGAGCAGAAACTTGAAGAATGTGATTTAACATGGATTGCAGATGTTGTAGTTTTGGACAACCGAATTGCTGCAAAGCGGAATATTTATGTTCTCTTTGATTTTATTATTGCAACTCTTCTTCTTCTGATTATAAGTGGAACAGGTAGTTAGGTGGTGGTTGTGGATTTGATTAAATTGTACATCCATTGCTTAAGTGTGTAATTGAATGTTTCGAATGCACATTATGATCAGGAACCTTTTATTTGTATTTAACGTGACAAGATGTATATCTATGTTACCATCATTTGATCCACTGATTTGTCACTTAAAAGTTATACTTTGCAGATTTCACGGAAATTTCAAATGTGCATTCAAATGTTTCTATATATTGTTTGACGTCTTACAATTACAGTAAATCTATATCTAATCGATTTACCTACTTGATGAATTAACTCCATCTGCAATCTGATTTTTTTTGTCCATTTATTTTACTGCTTAATTAGTATAGTGTGATTGGGGAAATGTGACGCATATCAGTATATGATTTCCGGAACATGTAAAATTCATGGGATGATCATTAAGCCGATCTGACATATTTTTGATATGTCGTAAACTATATTATAATGAACCACTTTACCTTTTTAGAAAATGAGTTCGGTTGCACCGGGATGGAAAAAAAAAGATCAAATAAAATGGTAATGTATTTCATAGTATCGTGTTATAAACTCATATTAGTATCATTAATCCAATTTATAGAACTTGGGGTACGTTTTAGACCGTATTGTCCAATTGAAATAAGTCGTTATTGGCATTAATATCTTAGACGTAACGTGGTCGAATTTTTTTATTGATCTGTTATATTTCTTTGATATTGGTATATTAGCTTCGTTGTTATGTCCATAATTTGAATTGAAAATAAAATAGTGACATCCTTGGTGATTTAAACTATTAGCGTGCTATTTATTTGGGTATGTGTAACTTATACTCGGAATGGACCCATTTGGTGAGGTTCTCTATGTGGTTGGGCCGCATAATTTTAACTAGTATGCAATACCTAATAGCAAAGCCCTTTAAATGATACTATATGATTTGCATGTTTAAATTATTTGTCTGAACTATTTGTGGTTTATTTTATACTTTCTGATGATATATTCGACCATCATTTTTAAATTTCATCTCACTGTATGTCTGGTAATTTAATCATACAAGATGTTTTCTGATTGTAGAATTGTGAGATTAATTTGTACTGTTTTTGGTGGTATGAATTGTGAAACTATGTTAATTTTGAGAAGAATTTTGTGTGTTTATTTTTTTGGAATTGTGAAAAAGTAGCTTTAGATTATTCATATTGCAGAAAACTATGCGTCTGCATTTGAAAAAGGACAACAAATTGGAGGATTAATCATGATGGAACGCATCGGTAAGTACGTAATTTTGTACGAATAGAAAATAGGAAATGTCCTTAGTGGACGCAAATAGATATCTGAATTATTGCAAAGGATTTCATTTTGAATGAAGCTGAGTATTTGTCCGTAATGTCATTTTTGTCCGCAAAATTGATAAAAAGCTTCTGTTTTTTGTGTCTCGCAATGTATTTTTCCTCGTGTCCGTTGTAGTTTGATGTAGTTTTCGAGTATTTTATTTCTTCAATAATTCATGATGTCTAATACTATGTAATTAAATAGATTGATGCTCCCATTTTTGTACGTTTTATGAGTTTTGCTTGCATGTAATTTTCAGTAAATTTATATGCTAAATGGAAGTTCTGAAGCAACATAAGTATTATCACATGTATAACGTGTTATTTTTCACATCTTCAATGTACGGAATGCATGTATTTTTAATACGCTTGTTAAACGTTTATGTGACGGAGCATATATACGATGTAATCTTCCGTTCCAAAATAAGTGTCATTCTAGAGTTTTCACATAGTTTAAGAAAACATTAAATATGGTAGCTAAAATATTAGAATATCCTCAATTAACCTCATTAAAATAAATGCTCACCAATAATATTATTTCTTTTGAGGGTATATTTGGAAATTTTTGAAAAAAAATGCATTGAAATCTGAAAACGACACTTATTTTGAAATTTTTCCATTTTGCTAAAATGATACTTATTTTGGAATGGAGGGAGTACTGTAATTAGGAGTAATTGTGATATTTACGACATGATTACTTCAGCATTGGTTACAACGTTACCATATCGACATTATGCATGCTGCATTAATAGGATATCTTTAACTTGTATTCCATGTTGCATTGGAAACCTAATTTGCTGGATAGGATTTTTGTAGGCATAATGACCTACAATTCATATGTCTGCTATCCAATGTGCTACCTGATAGAATAAAAAATTCTCAAGGTTGTGTCCTTCTTGTAAGTGATGTCCTTTAATTGCAATTGGGCAATTTCAACGGCGGGAACGGGAATTTTATTTTTAGTTCCATGAAATACGTATATAATACGTATACTTTTTACGTTTATATTAATATTAATTTAAATGATGAGATATTGAAGAAATCACATGAAATTTTATTACGGTCGTTTTCCGTTAATCTGGTTTATGAGACAGTTATAAATGTACTCATTTTCTTGGTCATCTCACCAATCCTATTTACAAACTCTGAGTTCTTTTGTTTCCACTGTTGTCTCATTAAGTTTGTAGACCTGCATGCACTTATATGCAAAGGCAGCAGCAGCCTTTTAGTCATTAAATCAGTTCACTATCCATCAAACCTTTGCAACGCTTAAAGAATGAGTACAACAATTTCTGACTCTGATTGCTATGATTTTATTGAAAGGCTACCATCTGAGCTCGTCCAAGATATCATGATGAGTGATTAAAATGTACTTGCTATTGTGAGTCGTCAACAACTTGGTTCTTATTCAGAAATATCATTTTGAGTGATTAAAATGTATCTTGAATTTCAAACCTTTTTGGTTAAAAAGCAATAAAAATACGACAAATGTTAATCATGTGTTATTCTTCTTATCATAATAAACAATCATAAATTAAAAAGATATTCATGATATTATAAAAATGAAGCCTTTTCTTTCCTTAAGAAAGTGATTATGATAAAAACAAATTAAAAGATAAAACCATTTCAATTCAACTATGGTAAATTACTGATCTATTAAAAATTTTATACACCCTTTAACGGAAACTTATCCACTAACAAAGTTGAATGAAACCAGTTCGATCATAAGTCTTCACAAAGTAAAGTAACACAAATAATAGATTCAGGAATTTTTAATTCCAAGTCAAAGAATCATTTTCTCAATTGGAAGGTTGGGGTTGGATTTTTCAGGATAAAGTTTGTGATGTAGTGGAATTGATCTTAGTTTTTACTGTCACTTGACCTATTAGTGCATGAATATTCACGAAGGTTCAAACAGAATAAACTTGATTATAATAAAAATAAATTAAACAGAAATCGACTAACACTCAAAGTGATCGGATAATTATTTAACCCCTTTTCAACCCTTTTTGTATTACTACGTGCGGGTTGTTCCGTGTCTATAGAGGCAGGAGTAGTGTAGTGTAAAGCCTGTAGTGATACACGAGTATATGAGCATGATTATATGACATTGTCGATGGAGTGTTAAATGTAAACAAATAATATTAATAATATTAAATTGTAATTATACAAATTTAAATATTAATGTGTTTTGTTATTTAAGTATATTTGGAATAATTTTCAATATTTGAAATCATACAATGTAACTTGTGGGTTTTTTTTTGGGTTAATTTTTGACTTTATGTATTTTAAAAGTATTCTTTTAATTTTTCATAAAGATAATCCTAAATAGTTCTATCCCATGACATATATTTCAAATTCTTCCTCTAACAGATAATCTTCTGATTATTTTTTCCATAAACTTATTTTTATTTTCCATCTCTCTATATTCCTTTTTAAACATTTCATTAGAAGTTTGTTCCGGTATTATTCCTATAATATAGAGTTGACTTTTTCTTTTGGGTGCGCAGTAAATTGATAACAATGATGAATGCAGAAAAAGACTAAAATATGTCTTCATTAATTATCTGTAGAAGACAGTCATATATCAAATCCTAAGGAATAAACGAACAAGAAGATTCATCAGCTTTTATCTGTAAAAAGAATGATTGCTGGAGAAATGCTACGAATCTTTTGGAGAACATCCTAGAAAAGAAATGCCTAATTACACATTACTCTAGCTACTACTCTAAATGTTGAAATAAAGAGTGTAATGTTCATCTTTCAAGCTCAGCAAAGGAACTAAAAGAAAGCTCCTCGTTCCACCTTTGGCTATGAAGCTGATGGGGTGATATTCACTAAGTCCTTTGTCCATCTTAAAGCTCACTGCACGACTAAAATCACCAGAGTCGCCTCCCCTACATCCGAGAATCACATTGTTTTCAGGGCCGCTCTGGATGTAACAATCCTTTCTGTTCATTGATTGGAAAGAAAATGTTTCCGATGCGCCATCCAGCCCTGGAACTAGCTTGAAGACTGATGAGTCATCACTGGAAGAACTTGGAACTAAGCCGAGTGGCTTATTTGGACCTTGATGTGCTACAAGCATGTCAGGGTTTCCAAATGGCTCCAACATGATTGATTTTCCTATGGCTTCCCATGGAGTTTTATGATTTTCCGATGAATCTTTCAGAATGACACGTAGTGTAGAATCAGCGGCCTCAGTTGTTCCTGGATTAGGACTGTTCTGCAATTTCACTGATTCAGGGGAAGCAGCAAAGAACAATTGCGAATTCCCACCGGACTGAGAAAGCGAGATTAGGCTGCTGTTGTACTCTTCAGGAACAGGGGTAATCCAATCAGTAATAACTGCATTTCCTGCTGCATTGATGTCCTTATCGCCTTTCGACAGACCAGCAAGAAGATAAGGACCGTACAGAATTGCTTGGAGAGAAGCATATTCAGGCCTATCATCTGAAATGGCATCCAAAAACAAACTCAATAGAATATTTCTAAGAAGCGTGATTTATGAGACATTTAACAGAAAAATTGGCTAATCTGTACAGTACCGCTAATTGCTTCGAGGCGAAGACTAATTGGTAATTCAAGTTTGATTTCATCTCTTGGTTTCCATTTCCTTGTAATGGAGAGGAATGTTCCTGAAAATCAGAAATGGGGATATTTGATCACAAAAATACTAGTTTGAGTGTGAAATTTCAAATCTAATTCGAATGGGAAGAACATATGAGGGAAGTAATGATAGTGACAATTACTGTATCATTTCACTAGATGAATTCTATATCTCGGTCGCTACTCTTAAAATAACACACCTGGAGCTGGTACTTTAAAGTTATAATGATTCAGTTTTGCGGTCGCCAATCTCGTGTCTGTCCAAGCTGGAATCCTTAGATTGACAGTGGCCATCTTGGTTTGTGTATGCTGTGCACATAGCAGAAAACAATAGATTAATGAAATAAGTACTAACATGTAAACAATATTAACAAAAAAAGAACTTTATTCAGTTGGAATGTGCCACTTACCCCATGATCAAGAGCTAGCGTCACTTGAAGCCGTTTATTTGATGATGAAACTGGCTGCACTTTCATCTCAAACTTCACATTTCGTGTGTTCCAATTAAATGTGCTCGGTATGTACTGCACAACGTAGATCCCTGGAACTTTTCCTTCTTCCTCAAAATATATTGTATCTCCGAGCTTCGCGAAGGATTCCGTTGCTGAAAAGTGTGAAAATTGGATGGATAAAAGTTAAAACATAAATATACGATCCTTGCAATTCAGCAGACAGGGCAAAAATAGGATAGCAATCCTTCTGAACAACAATTACATATGTATAAGATTCTGAAGTACAAAAGGTATATACATACCTGAGCCATAACAGCACCACATTGAATCATGTTTGTGTCCCCAACCACGGGAGCTAGTAGCTTTCGAAGCGCCAGGCTTCTGAGGTAGAAAATAGATCATAACTCCTGGTTCTGTTCCCCTTTGGATAGGTAGTACTCCATTGATCAAGGCTCGCTCGTAGTAATCAGCATACCTAGTGTCCTTAGTCCATCTAAACAAGTTTCTGATTACCTGTTACAGAACAGAATTGGCAGAAGATTAAGTACTCTTTCTGTCTCAGAAATAAGAAGCATCGGACATCATTTCCTAGAATGTCAACTGGAAAGACAGGCAAACTGAAGGGAAAATTACACAAACCTTAAGCATGTTATAGGTTGTACAGGACTCCTGATTCTCCGTAGTTAGAGTGGACGCTAAGCGCTTTGGATCCGTCCTGTTCAGAAGATACAAGGAAATGATGGTGAGTTAAGAAGTGAAAGAAGAAACAAATACAACTGCGAAGAAGTTAAAAAGATTGTAAGAAAATACCAGTGTTCGTTTTCTGATGTTCCTCCAGTTGCATAAGTATGAGAAGAGTTGATCATATCCACAAAGTATGTTGAAATATCCTGTTAAATGTAGACAATGTCAGGCTATATTTGTAATAATATCTCAATGTAAACCAAATTTGTTGAGGCACAAAAAGTTAAACAGAAGATCTAATCTTCAAGTAGAGGGTCATGATTTTACCCTATAAAGTGGATCGCCGGTAACTTCATAGCGCATTTGAGCACCAATAACAAGTGGAATATGTGTATTGGCATGGTAACTAGATATGTCATCAGCCTGCAATAACACATTTAGACAATATTACACATTAATTCAACCAAAAAGAGATTTTCAAAGATTCACTTATATCCAAAATAGCCTACCTCCATAGCTAGTTCTCCCAAGAAACATGGCTTGTCGAAAAGGTGAGCAAACCTTAAGTGCTTCTCATCACCCTGAAACAAATGGAGGAAAATATAAAAACGTTACTTATTCTATCTCGTTAATTTAACAAAGTGGACTAAATTTTAGGGACGGGAAGGGATTAATACGCACCGTGACTGCGTATAACCTATAAAGAAGATCATTCATGCCCCCAACTTCTTCATTCAAACTGTTCCAATGTCGTTGAATCGTGTACTTCTGAATAGTGTTTATCACACGTTCATAGTGATAATCAACCATCCATTTTAATATCCTTAGAGCTTCTCCGCTTTCAGCAAATGTATACAGATCCAAAAGTCCTGCCATTATCTATTCAAAGTAGTTCAAAAATTATCAGAAATTTGTTAATCTCACAAACCTATTAAAGCTAATAATATATGAGTACCATTTTTGTACAATACCTTGTGAATTGTATAGTAAGGCGCCCATACGGCTCTTAAGGTTTCGAATCTGTCGAACAATTCAGAAGGGAATGCAGAAAGATATCCAGTACCCATTTGCTTCTGGCATTCGGCTAGAATGGTTACTGCTTTGTAGATCTTTTCTTTAAGAGTTTCATTCTTAGTGCTTGCCCACATTTGTGCCGAGGAACTCAAGTAATGTCCTTTAGTTAAGATGACAATTGTTAGATCATAACGAATGTATGTAACATATCAACTTCAAAACAAAAACAATATCAAACTCAAAAACTCAAAGCACATTTATCATGTAAGAAATCCCGACATCGCACTCAAAATGATTTGGTGATGGATGTTATATTAACTAACTTTCAGTTGTTTAACAAATTTATTCTCTAAAACAAGTAGTATCCCACTTCGATAAAAACACGTCCTGTGCATATACTAATACAACATTTTATTCTAAAAAACTTATTAAATTTTCAACTTAATCCTTTTATCTCTAAAAACAAGTAGTATCCCATTTTTATGAAAAACACATCCTGTGTACTAATACAACCTTTTTATCCTCGAAAATCTTGTTAACGTTTCAACTTAATCCTTACAAATATTACAAATTAAATAAAGTAAAATGAAACTAGAATTTTTTTGTAGAACCAAAATATAATTTTTTCCCCTAAAAATTATATCATGTTCTTTAGTACAGTAAAATTCTAAAATAATTACTCCCAAAATGATTGGATAAACGTTATTTTTGTTTACTAAAACAAAAGGAGTGAAACAAAATTGACAAAATATTTTTTAGACAACAAAACAAAGTTCGTACACGCACAAAAATATAAAGCATGATGTGGATGGAGAAGACATATGTACCTACGAAATGACCTCGGAGTTCACAATCCGCCGCCTCCCAACCGCCGTAAGGGTTGCCGGGAACATCATGAAAACCAGCAGTCTTCCGGAAACTCCACAGCAAATCATCAATGTCAAGCAACAACAAATACTCCAAATTCGTTTGCTGGGCGATTCCGTACATCGAATCCGGGTCCAATCTCACATCCCTCAAATTCACTTCCTTTAAGAATTTACCTTTCACTTTAGCCTCATCATGAAACTTGATCTTCTGCTCGACCCAACTCATTTGATTCCGATTCTGATTCATCATCTTCCTTGAACTCACCGACGATTCGTTTCCGGCAGCGGCCCGGAGAGAATCGTCGATGGCGTTCATGTGCTTTTCAGCTTGAGCATATACCTCCTTTTTCCACGTCTCATTTTTTGATGTTTGCAATAAGTATCTGTAAGTGTGTGCTGCGTAGTTGTTTGGGAAAACATTTGTGCATTCTTTACTTACAACAAATTCGATGTTGTTCAGCAAAGACAAAAGAAGAAATGAAATGAGCAATTGGGAAAACAAAATCAAAGAGTTTCCCATGTTTGACTAACGTTTTTTGATGGCTTTGGAAAATGTTATGATAATGGACACTGCTTGAACATTTATTTATAGGGGAAAATGAAAAGGGTTGGATTTGTTTTGCATGTAGGATCAAATTTAGTTAAGATTTTTAAGATAAGGAGGTAGATACGTACATAAAGATATGAATGAATAAATCATGCAAAATGTTGGATGCTTCTTTACTTCTATTTGAAGGTAAAAACTAAATTTCATCGACTAAATGAATGGAGAAGTTTCGATTTTTTCTCATTCCATGATATGGATAATGTTCAGTACTTGTAGAGTTACGGAGAAGAAAACAAACACTATTTACAAATGGATTTGATTAAAGTTCAGTACTTGTAGAGTTATGGAGAAGAAAACAAACACTATTTACAAATGGATTTGATTCAATCGAATTCATTAAAATTGAATGAATTTTATTCCACAATGTCTTTTGTACGATTGCTCGCTGCTGAGATTGAAAGGTTATTTATCCTTTAGAAACATTAGATATATAGTGAAAATAGAGAGTGTAGTGAGACATATTTCTTTAAATAGTTTTCTTTATGTTGAAAACAGTAATTTTATACTATTTGTCTTTGACGAGTTAGTACTTCATTTCAGTACACCTATTTTCACTGTATCATTTCTTTCCCTATATCACGCTATATGTTTTATTTATAATCCACAGAAGTCAAATTCTACTCATATTCTTATCATATTTTGATAAAGATGGATCTATATTCGCAACAAAGAGTTGACTGGGAGAGGAATATATTCAAGCGGTAAAAGTTTTCTAGGGATCAAATAGCTCCACAGATACGGGAGGGATTAGAAAAAAAAATGACTTTATTAATAGCAGAGAGTATATCCAAATGATAAGTCGACTTTTTATTCTTGCGGAAACATTTCAATGGACTTACAGTAATACGTGGACTCGGTCAACCAAGTGTCTTGACAAATTCAAACATGAATGAAGGCCAGATTTGATTTTATTTGTTGTGATATTATTTTATTGTCTTTGTTGTGATTTTATTTCGTTGTTACTAGTTGTGATTTTCCCGTATTTCTGGCAGAAATTTATTAATTATCCATTTAGACAAATTGCGTATGTCAAGAAACAGAATTGGAGATAAATAATAACTAGATGCTTGGCCCAGACAGATGTCCGGGCGGCCCCTTCCGTTATAAGTAATTTTTTTTTACAAATAGAAAGGGAAATTCTAATCTAAATGAAATACGTATGTGGTTATATATATATTTTTTTATTATAATATGTAATGATAGAAATAATAGTTATATCTATAAGTGGACTTAATGTTAGATGAGGTTGAAAAGTTATTTATTTGAAATTATAATCTAAATTTTAGGATTCTTTAATTGATTATATAAAAAAGGATCTTCTAAACTAATCAAAGTAATATAGGAATCAAATTGTGAGAAATCAAAAATAAAGATCATAACAACAATAAATTTCATTAAAACTTTTTTTTTTTTTGTTCGCCTGGAGACATGGGAGCAAAATTTTTAATTTGAAACCTTTTGATATGAATTTGGAGCAAAATTTTAGTCAGAGTTATTTATGAGATTTGAAGGGGAATTGAAACAATAGTTGAATATGTCGATTTTTTGGATGCCTTCTGTGGAAATGGGAGTGCTCAACAGTTTGGAAGGAATTTGACTAAGGGCTTTGAATTTTAGTTTTCACTAATTTGTAGGAATTTAATGTGATCCGGAGGAGTGTTTTAGAAGTTTTTTTATCCAGAAATAAGTATTTTTTATTTTTTGTTTTAGAAAGAGAATGACACATGGCAAAATGATTTATGTAATAGGGTGTATTTGGAGCTAAAAATTTTTAATAAAAAGTTCCAACATCAACTTCTGCTTTAATAGGGTAAAAGGGATAATAATAATAATAAGTAGCCTTCACTTCCAAAATAAGTACCCTCTTTTTTTTCCAATGTAAAATTAAAATAAAAAATTCCATTAAATTTACTACAAATCGTCCAAAAACAAATTGGGCATAAAAAAATAACAACCGTGATGAAGACAACTTATAAGTGCTCAAAAGTCCGTCCCCTATTTGTTATACTAAAATAATAACAAACACAATTTCTATTTTGCAGATGTAGCGGAAATAGTTCCAAATGGAAGGGGCGAAAGTGAGTTTTTCCTATAGAAAGGATAAATAGTAATGTTTAAAAATATTATACTGAAAAATTAACCATTCCTTAATAACAAATTTAGGAGAAAGGAGAGGTCTAGTCTCCAATTGTCTCCGCGATTGGATGTCTTGTGTGGGAAAAACAAAATGTGGCAAAGAAGAAGGGAATAACAAAGAAGTTGATGTACGAAAGAGCTGGATGCATTGGCGGCGATAAAATCAATTATTAGTACCATAATCGAGAATTCGAATCTTGTTAAGTATTTTGAATACAGTATAAAAGTATGGGAAAGCGGATGAGTGAAAGAAATGATGACGATTAAAGAAAAGGTTCCAAATGGAAAAAGCATGAGCCTCATTTGTCTTGCCCGTCACGTTTTTCAGCCGACTAAAATGTCACCTCTAACTAAATTTTTTCTGCCCAGATAATCTCAATGACAAATACATATATATGTATGTCATCATGAAACAGAAAACTAACAAGAAGACAAAAACGTCGAGCTTTTTACTCTATATATATATATATATATATATATATATATATATATTACAACGATGACCAGATCCACGCCTTCTTCGATTTCAAATTTTCGACTCATGTCGTTAGCTATATCTACAGTGACTAGAAATACACGAATCCCTATGCGTTTTTCCCTCATTAAAAAAGCTTACACCATGGGTTTGGTAGGGACTTATGGCTGTAAATGGTTATTAGTCCGTAATAACAATCTTCTGGGGTACATCATAGTAATATTTATCAGGTGAAAATAAATTCGATTTGAAAGAATCTTTGAAGGATTAGTATTATGTCCAGCGCTGGACATTCCGTTTGCAAGTGTTGTTAGAGTTTGTATGGGCCAAAATTAGTAAAATGTGTCTCAAAGTCCGTATGGGTCAAAATCAAAACAGAAAGATGAAGGTGTCTGGAACCCGTCAGTGCCCAAAAAAGAAATGATTAGTATGCGGAGCTAATCATACTATATTATAATTACATAATAATTTTTGAAGTTTGGTAGTCCTTCACATTTATTTGTTTAGTTAATTATTTTTCCATGCAATTAATTAGTTTTGTAGTCCTTTATTTAATTTGGTCTAAAATATTTTTCAATAAATATTTTCTCCTATTAATTATTTTATTATTATCTCACTTATTACCATTATATTCAACTTTATGATTAATAAATTATTCCCTTATATCTAATTTTATTATAATAAATTGTCCTTTATTATCAAACAATATAATGGTGCTTTTTTTTATCTCCATTCCATTAATTCTTGTTTTTAAGATTACAAAAAATTTATTTCTCGTTCTTAAGTAAATTTGATCAGTCTAAAAACGGTTTTGGTGATACTAACCTCTTTGAATTTTGTAATGTCTTTTCTTCTTCTCTTATTTTATTTGACTTTAATAGGTTATTCAATGATAGTTTGAATTGTTCCATAACTTAAAAGAACATTAAAAGTCATGTAACCTACATTTATCTATGTATAATTTTAAAGGGTTTAAGATTTAGTGACTTCTCTCTCAATCTCTCTCTCTCTCTCCCTCCCTTCCCTCCTCTCTCTTAAGTCTTTACCTCTCACTCTCAAGTTTATTGGAGATGATTACTTTTCATTGCTTTTCTCCATCTGTTTTCTTCTTGATTTTTTTTTCCTTCTCAAACTTAGTTTTTGTTTTTAATATTTTTTCTTCTTTTTTAGTTGTTTTAGTTTGGTGATATAGAAACTTGATTTATTTCTCACTGGTCTTGTCATTTTTTTCCCATCAGAAAAATATGTCTCGCTTCTGCTGAAATAAGAAGTGACACATTTTAGTGATATCAATTTGCTCTAAGTAAAAGTATATATTTTCTATATTGATAAATTTGTTAACATATTTTGTAGATAGTGTATTAGGTAGCAATGTGATTATTATTTTTACTTATTAAAAATTTATTTTTTCCTTTTATATAATTTACATTACATGACCATACATAGAGTACGCGCAAAGCGCGTGTAATCCATCTAGTACTTAACTAAAGTGGAAGCGAAAAGTGTAAAAAAATAATTTTGAAAGGCAAAATTGTGTAAAAATAAGCTTTTACAGTGGTGACATTAAATATTTTAATAAATTAATATGAAAATTTTAAGAGGTCTTTCATTAAAATAATTGAGGGTGGCCTTTCCCTCCCTCCGCTACTGTTTATTCATACAAACATATAACATTAAGTAGGTCAAATGATATGAACATCCATGGTAATCAAGTCCAAGATGATCAAGGTGTTCGGGTTCCAAGTACTATCCAAACTCAAGAAGTGGCTCAAGATCCATTATCCAATATTGGAGGCCCAATGACTCAAGCTAGAAGTAAAAAGATGAGGAGTGTACTTAATAATCTTATATCAAATGGTTTAGCCTAAGAGAATGTCAAGTTTCGAAGTTACAAGCCATAGATTATTAATATGTTAAAAGACCCATTTGAGGAAGGAAATTTCGGCCCACAAACCAAGCAAGGGAGGCCGGCCCTATCTCCTAATTTTTAAGAGTTGGAATCTCTATCTTATAGGGATAAAATCATTTAAATCTTATCACACTTGTGGAATGATAAGATTTGGAAGATTCTCTATCTTTTAGAGATAAGATCATTTAAATCTTATCATATGGAAGGATAAGATTTGATATGATTCTCTTTTATCTAATTTAGAGTTTATTCAAAATAGGAAGTCTATTCCTTGGTGTCTACTCTCAACCGTTGGATGGAGATTAGATCAAGATTGGATGGCTACGATTACTCTACAAATAAAATATTGATAGAGTTGACAACTCAGTAAGATTATTTTCAAGATAAGGATAAGATTCTTTTGAGAGAATATCTCTTTGTATTTGGAGTTTTATTTTCAATAGACTAGTGTGTCTTAAGTCTATAAAGGTGTCTAGATACATTGCCTTAATAGATAAGACACAAGTTGTCAATTAGAGGTTAAGTTGATTTCTAGTTTTTTAAAGTAGGAATAGAGTTAGAGATCAAACTCTTCTCCTACTTCATAGGAGAATTTTGGCCCCCTCTACTATAAATAGGGGTGCTTGGCCAGCCTTTTATTTGTACCTTTGATGAATTATTTCAATATGAGCCGAGAGGAAACTCTTTGTTCTTTTTTTACTCTTTTCGAAGATTAGTGAATTGCACACAAGCTTGTGCTTTGTTGATGCATGCGAGTAGAATAGGTATTTTTCTACTTGTGGAGCTTTGTTAGTTGTTCATTGGAGCCTTTTCGCTAGCCGTTCTATCCATAAATTGAAGGGATAGAGTTGTTAGAGAGGTAACCAATTGAGTTGCTAACCTTAAACACTTTCTACATCTTCTACCTTTCTATCCCTTTTTGGTGTAAATTTTTGTGGTTTACATCTCTTCTTTTCTTTTATTTTTCGTGAGTATTGGAGTCCATAATCTTGGATTTGCAAATTTTCAAGTCCTGGAAAATTCATAACTTCTGCGTCGAGATAAATCTACCACTTTTGCCTCAAGATTCGTATCATCAAATATATATATATATATATATATATTTTTTCTTCATATAACTGGGTTTTTTTTTATTGAAGAAATTAAATGATGGTGCTCCAGGAGTATGAGATGAATGAGATGGTGGTGGTTCCACATTAGAAATATGCTTACCCCTAGGCCCTAACCGCTAAAACCACAAGGATAATTAATTGTACACCACATGAACAAGAGAAACAAATCCCAGGAAAAGGGGGAGTTTTCTGGAGGAAGACGAGATAGCGAGAACTCTTCACTTTATTGAAGAAACGCTTTTCCTAGGGATTTTTTTTTTTTTTGTCTTTTCCATTTATTTTGCCTGAAGTAATGTTTTTCCGGCAATTGGAGGATAACACAAGGTTAACTTGCTGTGAAATGAGTATCGGTTATATTCTCGAATGACGAAGGGGTATGAGTCCTAAGACCAAACCTCCGAGGGGAAAATGTAATTATTGAAGACATGTTACATTCTAGTAAATTTCTGTTGTTGGATATACAACTGCATTATTATAATAACTCTCATGTCATGTTTAACTCTACGATCAGTTTGTAAATATTAATCGAAGCACTAAATTAAGGGTTTTCACGTCACTCTATTTTTAAAAAATTAAAATAAATGTTTTGAGGATAAATGCCTAAAGTTAAGGTTTTTATAAGCTTCTAATCCAATCAGAGCGGTTTTGAACACTTCTTTTCTTCTTTTCTTATTTTGTTTTAAGAAAATAATAGGATCTTTTAAAATAAAATTGATTTAAATTCTTCAATTTTTTGTTTTTTTTAGGTACAATGGTGGAGGTTATTACCTATTACTCAATGGACGAAAATTTCGACAAAGTCCAACCTAACCAAGCGAGTGAAAAAAACAAAATCAAGAAAAATACTGCAATTTTCGCTTCGAACAAATTGTTATTGTACTAACAAATCCTTATTTAACAGTATTTTGATCTGTATAAAATTTCCTTCATATATGCCTAAGATTTCTTCTTTATCTTATGATATCTTGTGATCCTTATTTAATGGTCACTTTGATCTCTATGCTGATGTCATATGTCCATTCAACATAACTTTGTACGGGTAAAGGAATGCCGAAAATAGTTGGCTCACTTTCATTAATGCCAGTGCACCTTGTTAAATGAATGAAAGAAAGAAATGACCTCATGTTCTATTGTCCCACATGAATGGATGAAGACTCTTGAACTCAACATATGTACTTCATGTGTTACTCCCCTCATTGCCAATTGGTTTTGAAGTGAAACCACATGTGGATTTATATTTGGGCCTTTCAAAATGGTATCAGAGCGGGTTTTAATCCGCGGACCTGTGGGACATGTAGGGGGAGGTGGACTGACCCAGATTGGGTCTTGAAACTTTTGCCAACCCACGGAAGAAATCCGGGGTTTGACTTTGAACTTTGATTGGCCCGGCAAGCGACGGTTTATTCGGGAAAATAACCGATCGCAGGACTGAAAAAAAAAAAAATTATCGGTCCAAGCCCATTGGGCTTGAGAGGGGCGTGTTAAATGAGTGAAAGAAAGAAATGACCTCATGTTCCATTGTCCCACATGGATGGTTGAAGACTCTTGAACTCAACATATATACTTCATGTGCTACTCCCCTCAATCAATTGGTTTTGAGGTGGAACTACATTTGGGTTTATATTTGGGCGTTTCAAGACACCTTTAATTTCCTTGTACACCCTAGCAGCTGGTTTGGTCTTGATACCAAACCAAATTAATAAACATTTAAACCACTTGAAAAACTAAAAGTAATGTATGCTTAATTAACTTTTTAACTTAAACCTCTTGTTAATGTTTCTAGCTGGATGGTGGAAGTTTTCCCTCTAAAAATGAAGTGAACATGGTGAGAGCTCGAACTGGCTGGTAACTTGGGACGAAATGCCCTGTTCCTCTTATTGTCACAAAAGTGAAATTCTTCTCATATCCAACTACATAACCACCAACCTGGAAAAACAATATCAAATATTTCAATGAACAAACTTAAAGAACATCAAAATAATAAACTTAACGTAAGACAACCCGTCTAGAGAAAGATGCAGTAAAAATTTTGATTGTTTTTTGAAGGAATTATTTCCCCCCTGTTAAGTTGTTAAGCTTCAAAAAATGGCTTTTATGTCTCTCCATGAACTAAGTGACTATTGCAAGACAAATAAAATTACAACTCAAAAAAAGTGTTGGTAAAAGAGAACAAGATAAATCAAGGAATTGGCGCATTAGGATTCCCAAATCACACCAATGGCTATGTGTAAACAATAAAACGGAACAAATACATTTATCCATGTTTCACAAATATGAATTCATTGTTTACCTAACTAATGATCTTATTAATGAAAGAAAATCAATTTCAAATGTAAATCACCAAAAGAGAAAGAAATTTGCCTCCTAGCTAAACATAGTATGCGATTTGTGGTTACTCTAAAATTCGTATCTCTTACCTCGCCATGGTCGTACCAAGGGTACCAAGGAGTTTTGACCGAAAACTTCATCTTCTGTATTGCGTATTTAGTCGTTGTCACGGCCACTACAGCATCTGCATCTCCACTGCATATTCCAAAACAATAATTATGATAGGTAAACTATCTCCCGAAACTAAGGCTATCAAAATTGCGAACCCAAGTTGTAGGATTCATAGCTGATTCTATTATATATCAAGGTGCAAAAAAATCAATCCCAAGTCGTGAAGGATGATGTAGTTGATGATAGCTAGTAGTAAACTAGTAAGCAGCAACACCTACCTGTATAACCATACTCTAATTCCACTTGTAGTCAATTTCTTGATGACTTCTAACACTGAGTCTGGCTCATCCTGCCAGTTCTCAAATATGGGGTCACTGCATTTACACGTTACAAATTTAGGTTACAGAACCCACAAACTAGGCGATAAAAATGCTTTTCTTTTTCTTTTTTGCAAGATTGAATAAAAAGAAAGAAAGAAAGAAGGATATTCTTTATTTTAAAATGTATTAGTTAAACAAAGAGAATGAACACAAATTATAAGCATATACCTGCAACTAGCCCAAGGACCAGGTAGTGATCCGGTGATGTTTACATGGAATGCGTGTTGCACTGCCGGAGTGTTTAGGTAATCCGAGATGTAGTAATTGATGCACGGATCGAATTGATCAGGCCTCTACTTTCAACAAAGAAAATTGAAATATATGAGAAGAACTTTCAGAATTTGTCAATATTTAAATTAGAAATATGGAGGGAGTCGGATGATTTTGTTTACCGAAGGAGGAGGTTGTGAGGAAGATAAACAAACGGGAGCATAAATATTGTAAGGGTCAATTTTTCCTTGAACTGCATCTGCTTGATTCTGGAATTTTGCACAAGCATCTGATGAATAGTATCTTGAGGAAAAATTGCAGTTTGAAATTACGCCGTGGTAGATTTCATCCGAGATCAATGCATGCGACCAAATAAAATCGTTCGTTCCTCGGTTTTGCGTTTCAATGTCTACGTAGGCATTCCCAATCTGAGCCGAAAGAAAAACAAAAAATAAGCAAATTTGTAGCAATAAAATTGAAGGAAGTTAAAATGATAGGTAAAAGTACTTACAGAAATCCCTTTAAGGTTTATGACGGTTTGGTTAGTGATTTTGTTATTTTTAAGGATAAGTTGAGCTAGTTGAGGTACATAATGTCCAGCATAACTTTCCCCAGTTATAAAGAAATCACGAGTTTTGTACTCGGGAAATCTTTCCAACCAATTCACTAGAAATGTGTAGGAATCTTTCGCAGTTTTCTTGTCTCCGGTATGGTAATCGGATGAGGTGTTCGAGTATGAAAATCCAACTCCAGCCGGAGATTCCAGGAAAAGCATATTGGCAGCTACATACACAAAAATTAATAAATAAATAAATAAACAAAACAAATCAGGCCCTTTTGATTCATTTCTAGATAAAAATCACTTTTTGCTCAACTAATACGCGAAAAGAAAAGAAAAACTTACCATTGTTCCAAGCGTATGGATTGCGCCATAGTGTTTTCCTATCGCTATTAACTCGAAACGGACCAAGTTCAGTAAATGCTCCGTTCCCAACCGACGAGCAACCAGGGCCTGATTTTATTCAATTGTCACAGTTTTAGCAAATTTTGGACAAAGATTATGATAGACAGAGCAGATTTTTGAAATCTAAAATTAGATTATAAATCTTGTAAATCTATAATCTATTGCTAATGCCAAACATGTAATCTACCAGAGTTCATACTTTCCTTTGTCTAAAATTAGTAACCTAGTTTTTTAGGAGCTTTCTTTCGTAGCATTTGGTTAATGTGGATCGATACGGAGGAAACTTCATATTGGTGCTATCAAGAGTATAGAAGAGACATCTTATTTGTTTATTTATTATTTTTTGGTATATCCAATTTATCACCCATGGTTGGTTCAACTTGGTGTGATTACAAACAGGGAATGTAGTTATATTCTAGACTTTTCCTTTTTTCTTTGTACTAAAAAACCAAAAATAAATTTATGATTCATTTTAAAATAATTCAACCAACTATATAAATTATTATGAGAAAAACAAAACCCATAATTTTCGTTAATTTTCCAAGATAAACCATGGAGATTGAAGGGTTGAGATTTAAAGTTTTAGAGAATAACTATGGTAACACATAGGAGCTTTAAATTTACTGTTACTCCTATTGCCAGGTAACGAATTAAAGTTGCTTGAAATACGTGAATTTTGCTACGTAAGTTTTCTAAACTTACGCTAAAAAAATAAAATAAAAACAAATAATTAAGGGCAAAAATGGGAATACCTCCATTTAGCCAAAGTACGAGAGGCTTGGAAGAGGAGTTCTGTGATTCAACAAGCCAATAAAACAGCGCTCGGCTTGCTTTTTGATCAACCGTTACATAACCTGAATATTGGTCGAAATCAATTCCATCTGGTTGCCCCGGCAAGGCGACAATTTTATTTGCTTCCTTTAATCCCTTTTGAGAGCCAATATACACCGGCGAATATTCAACGCCGTCCAAATCCCCTTCAGTTACGTAACTGAATGACGGTTTGGAACGACGAGAACGGATGTGTCTTGTCAGAGGATCGTTGCCTACTCCGACATAACATTGTACCGATGAATCTATGCAGAAGAAGATGGCTAGGGTTAATACCAATTTTCCTGTCATTGCCATATAGCCTCTTTGTTTTGGTCTTCGGAACGGAATTTGGCTTTCTGTATTTATAGATTGCTCGTGCCTTTTTTTGGGTTAATACCAAGTTTCCTGTCATTGCCATATATGCGGTAATAAAATTGAATTCAAATCATATAATAGGAAAATTATTCAATACATAAGGCTTTAATAGCTTTCCTTTTTATTTTGGTACAGTATTATTAGCTTTCCAGTTATGCTTATGCCAGCGAGACCAACTCTTCTCGAAGAAAATTTTAATAAGAGAGGAAAAAAAAAGTTTTTCCCTCTTCCAAGTAATTATTAAGAGAAAGAAATGACAGATTAAGTGAAAAGGTCCACGTGAAAAAAGAATGAAGGTACGCAAATCAGACTAAATTCATCTTACCTTACTGGACTGGTTTGTTGTTGGTTTGAATTTAAAATGTTAATTCATTAAATTATGACTGGTGGATGGATTCCACAGAAGGTTCAATGCAAAGTAAAATGAATTCGGTGAAATAACCTTCGATGAAAGTAGGTTCATCTGCAATTTTGCATTTCGACAATCTCATATATCTTGAAATTAATGAGCGTTAAATTGTACTGGATATGTATCGTTTCTTGATTTAGGTAGAAGGGAAAGGTATTCCCTGGCCCAAACACCTCTAAAAATACAACTGTTACTGTCATTTTCCTAACCTCTTTCTGGAATTTTTTTTGGTACATTAAATAGGAGTAATGATATTCTTCTCTACAAATATAACTCTACTCATAGCCATACTTGCATGTCTATCTAGTTGGCATTCCACATCAACTCCATAATTATTAGTTTTTCTATTTACAAAAAATTGAAATTTATTCTTTTTTCTTTGTACTAAAAAAAATCAATTTCATGCGAAACTTTCAAGTTTCATCCACTTTCTTTTTTCTTCCCTTTTCACCACTGCGTAGCATAACCCTCAAACAAAAAAGAAGACAAAAAATTCTGGTTCCCATCACCAATCGAACATCATTCTTCGTTCACGTCTACCACACATAATCTTGCCAAATTTAGGTTAATGTATGAGGTAGTAGTTTTTGTTGCTTCTGAGAATTTTTGCGCAGTAGGTTAATTAACCACTCACATAGATAGGAGATTGGATAGAGAAACCCAACAATCGCACGGTCTGATTCAGAATCAAGACTACTGGAAACTATTCATGAGAATCCAACAATGGCATGGCTTCGATTGATTTGATTTTTTGGGCAAATGAGAATTTTTTTTTTCTTTTTTTAATTTTTTTTGTTACAATCGGGCGAATGATGAGAATTTTGATAATGATGATTCTCATAATTTTGCGAGAGGGAAATTCTCTGATTATGAATGGTGAAAGGGAAACAAAAAGAAAAGAACCGAAAGAAAAGGATAAAATTTCTTTTGAAATTATTTCTTTTTTGTAAATAGATAGAGAGATGATGTGGATTGCCTAATAGATAGACATGTAAATAGAGTTATGAGTAGAGTTATATTTGTAGAAAAGAATATCATTACTCTTATAAAATAGTTAAAGTATAAGAGGATAAATTACGACAGTTCTATTGCTGAAAGACACGGATGACACCGCATTCCAACCATTTATCTCTGATTTGTAGTGCGAGTCAAATAACATATCTAGGCTCCCAAAGCTTGTCGTTGCGAGACAGTCCTATATATTACATATTAAAAATGAATGTTTTCGTGACGTGCGACGTGAATCTAGATAGTTAATTGAAAAAGTTACAAAATCAATCTCAATTCGGTGTGATAAATTTTATTGTGTAATTTGTTGACGCAAATCGTTACTACTTACATCAACCATTTGGGAATGCTTTCGATACTGTACATGTATCGTTTTATAATGAAGATGCAAATCTTGCAGCTGAAACAAATATTTACTGAACGAGAATGCAACTAAGACGAGTTCTCTCGGACACCGGAACACCTGCAGGTTTGATTTGCCTTAGGATGTATAGTATTGGCATTAGTTCTTTGAGTGGACCCGAATCTTACAGAACAGACATCATCTAATAGTATATCAAAGGGGAAGAATTATATGGAATCAAACATCCTAGCTAATGAGATGATATACTTTATTTACAATAGGATGTCTATTACATTATGTCTACTGATGCCTGGAATAGTTGAAACCGCAAAACCACGAGGATGAATAACGATGAAGAAGCTGAAAAGTAAAAAACTGGAAGGGCGCGAAAAGATGAAAAAAAAAAAGGTTGATAAGGACCAAAAGTGCTAAAAATTTTCAGATTGCAGGTTTCTGTTTGCATCAGGCCCTGGATTTATTGAAGTTATTGACGAGATATATATGTTATTCTTGGTTTCTTCTACATCATAAAAAAAAAAAAAAATCTAAATCTTGGTATTGAGGCAAATGTATCTGAAGCTTCAATTCTGACGAGTTCTTTGAAAGTTTGAATCGAAGATAGACAGGTAACATTAACAAGAACACAAAATGTTGGTATTAGTTATTGGTGTGGATCCAAAAATCTTACGAAAACAGAATCAATTTAACAGTAACCTTTCCCATCGAAACTTAAAAGAAGCAAGAAACTTAGCCTTAATAGGAATTATTAAAGTGTCAATGTATCATCATCATGGAAACAAACACCTTAGTTGGACAATGTTCTCCTTGTACATGAATTTGGCTTTCCTCCAAAGGTTATTGGTTGGATTATGGAATGCGTTACCTCAGCTTCATTTTCACTGAATATAAATGGTAGCAGCACTGGATTCTTTCAAGGGAAAAGAGGACTTAGACAAGGTGATCCTATGTCTCCTCTTTTATTTGTGATGGTAATGGAATATTTGACCAGATTATTTAAGTTGGAAGAAGAAAAGAAAGGATTTCAATTTCATCCATACTGTGAAAAATTGAAGATTACCTTCCTTAGTTTTGCTGATGACTTGATCATTTTGTGTGGTGCTGATGTAGCTACTGTGTCAAGAGTGAAGGTTGTACTGATGAGATTTGAAGCAACAACAGGGCTGAGAGTGAATATTAGCAACTCAAATCTTTATGTGGCAGGAGTGTCAGTTGAGATGGCAGCTGATATTCAAGATGTTGTGGGTTTTGATAGAGGAGAGTTTCCAATGAAATATTTGGGGATGCCAATAACACTAACAGCTTAGAAAAAGGATGAATGTCAAAAGATGGTGGATAAAGTGACTGCCAGAATCAAGTGCTGGTCCTCTAAACACCTGTCTTATGCTGGCAGAACACTGCTGATTAATGTTGTACTAATGAATCTGAATTTTTACTGGGTCAGTGTTTTCTTAATACCACAGTATGATCTAAGACATTACCAAAGTCTGTAGGAACTTTCTATGGGGAAACAAGGAAACAGGAAAGAAATTATCATTGGTGGCATGGCAGGATTTATGTAGAAGAAAGTCAGAAGGTGGATTGAATATTAAGGAACCATGTGTTTGGAATAAAGCACTAATTGGGAAGCAGCTATGGGATCCGAGTAATATGAAGGAAAGTTTATGGGTTAAATGGATGCATATTTACTACCTGAAAAGGAGACAAATATGGGATTGCTTGGCACCTAAAGATAGCAGCTGGCACTGGAAAAAATTAATCAAAGTTAAAGAAGAGCTTAAACCAGGAATCATCAGTGGTATATGGCAAGGAAATGGAGGAAAAAGGTATACTGCCAGAAGTGGATATGATTGGCTAAGAGGAGGAAGAAGTAAAGATCATTTAGCAAGCATAGTATGGAGTGATACTCAGTTCCCAAACACAGTTTCATCTGCTGGTTAGCATGGAGGAACAGACTGGCCACCTCAGACATATTGAAGCATATCAAAGTCCTTCCTGATGATCAGGTATGCATTTTATGTTTAAAAGAAATAGAAACAGTGCAGCATTTGTTTTTCAAGTGTGAGTTTGCTCAGGCAATGCTGAAAAAGGTGAAGGAATGGCTGCACTTGAATGCTACAATAGACTATCTCAATGTGAAGGGAATTCTGAAAATATGGAGACATAAGGAGATGCAAAAGAGAATCATGTATGCTGTTTTGAATGCAACCGTCTATCATCTATGGCTAGAGAGGAATGGAAGGAGGTTTAGGAATGAATTATCATCACCATAAATGTGTTGGTGTAGGCTGAAACAAGAAATTACTTGGAGGCTCTTGCATTGTTTGAAAAACAAGAAAATGAAGGAGATGGAATTTCAGTACTTAAAAAGAATTGGCCTAGGCTTAAATGGTATGGGCAGGATTTCTTGTACTTAAAGATTTGTATAGTTTCTTTTTGTGAAGTTGATCAAGACAAGTTTACCATTTACCCCAAAAAAAAAAAAAATGTTCTCCTTGTACAAAGATTCGTCTCTCGTATTCCACCCCCAGTCTAAACATTCGACATGGGACACAAAATGCGATGTTGTTTCCCTCTTGATTGGATCATATAAATAATAAATGTTTTTTCTGCCCCGGCATATCATATCCAACCGCAGAAATCAAAACCTTTCCATCAGGAAGTATACCCGTGATACGGAAGTACATGTTGTACCGCTTGTGCATCTCATCATCTGATTCAAGATTACGGATCAAAAACTCATCCTTTATCTTCTCTCATGATGGATCACCTGGATAAGACATGATTCAGTATTCATTTTTTTCACTTTCTTGCGCATACAAAGAAACAGTACAAGGTCCAAATCGCTGTATATTAACACCTTCTCCTCTCGGGATAATGTGAAACTTCTCCTTAGAAAGACCAAAAGCAGAAATTCCCCAATCTGAGCTATGATGATCCCAGTATAGAACACCATCGTAACAAATGCTGTTAATCAACATATCCTCCACGAATCCTTTTCTCCCTGGAGAAGAAATCCTTCTCCATGATGACTCCCTTCCTCCTCCAAACGTCAGAATCTCCCAATCATAAGTATCTTTGGTGACGCATACTCTCAACAACTTATAAAGCTTAGAAACTGGATCGAAACCAAGTTGGTATCGACTCCATTCGTGCCCGCGACATCTGGAATCAGGAATTCGCAAAGTTTCGTTGGTTGCGATGTTGTGAAGGTAGTAATATTGGGTCTCGCTACTGGAACGGCCCTTGCCGCCGTGGTAGAAACATATCAATCCATTGACCTGGTCGGTGCAACGGTAACAAGCGGCGCTGGACGGAAAAACGTCCCTGTGGTGACGAGAAATTTGATGGCTGCCATCGGGATTTATTTGAACGAAATTCAATACGGGAATATTTTTAGCGGTATCACAGATGAGAATAGAAGCACTGCCAGCATTGTGAACTTGTTGTAACACGGCGAAGGCTGGATCCAGAATAATTTCAAGCTATTGTTGACAAACGTGTTGAAATATTCTGATCAGGTTACCTCAGCTCCAAACGGTGGCGTTTCTTTTCCACCTCCTTCTGGAAAAGCTTCCCGCCAAAATGCAGTTTCAAGCAGTGCACGTGATTCATCATCAGAGCAAATTGCACATGGAGATGTTGAGCTGGAAAAGCAGAATCCACGCTCTGAATCTTCTTGGAGAAGCAGGAAGTTTCGCGAACCACCTTGAATCTGCATTTAGGAGTCCTTAGTGTGTAAATACCTTAGGCGATAAATCTAAATGTTCTAGAATAAGGATTTACTTTGTAAATAATCAGGTGTTAGATTTGATGTTCTATGAATAGAACCAGCTTTACATTTGTATTCTTATCTTGAAAGTAATACACTTCAGAGAAAAACAATGGCGGTTTCTTCCTTTCTTACTTTTCCGGCGAGTTGCCTTACCTTTTGATCGTTTCAGTTTTTGTTTGATGGTATCAGAGCAGGTCTAATTCTGCCTGATCACCGATCAATTCCGCTGTTGTTCTTTTTTTGTTCGTTCTTTTTCATTTTTTTTCTTCAATCAGATTTCTCAGATCTGGTTTTCTGTTTCTTCATTTTGCATCTTACTCCTTTTTTTTCGAGTTCTTCTTCTTCCTTGAGCCTTTTCACTCTCGGAGACTTGATATTTATCATGGCTCGAATTGAAGGAACACTGTATCTTGGAGATGAGCAGTTATTGCTTCATGCATCTGTTTCGCCGGGAACTATACTGGTTACGGCACCATTGACTGAGAAGAATTACCTCATATGGAGGAATTCGATGATCATTGCACTGGAAGCAAAAACAAAGCTAGCTTTTGTTTACGGGAGCTGCGTGATGCCGGAGGAAGGATCACCGGATTATCACAAGTGGCATCGAGTCAATAGCATGGTAATTTCATGGATCATGAATTATATCTAACCAGAGCTTGTAAACAGCTTCACTTTCATCACTCGAGCAAAACAATCATGGGATGAGATACAAGAGAGGTATGGAGCTTCGAATTCAGCACTGCTCTTCCAATTGAAAAGAGGAATTACACCTACAAGGGAGGGAGATATGTCTGCTATCCAGTACTATGGCTATATCAAACAGCTACGGGATCAATTGGAGCAGCTCAGGCCTATGCCAGCATGTGGTGAACCAGTCAGGAAAATCAAGATGGAACGAGATGCTGAGGATAAAGTGATGCAATTACTCATGGGAGTTAGTGAAATCTATGAAGCTGAGAAAAGTCAGATCCTCTTGATGGATCCTATTACAACTGTGAACAAGGTGTATTCTATGCTCTTGAAGGTAGAGAAGCATAAGCAGGTTGCCAACTCTATTGTCTCAATGATAAGCTGCTATGATGGCTAAAGGACCAAAGTGGAAGAAGGATAACAACAAGAAGCAGGCATTTGTGAAGAAGGATAAGAGTCATTTGCTATGTACTCCTTGTCAGAGAACAGGACACCTTAAGGAGGATTGGTTTAAACTGAATGGATATCCAGACTGGTGGAAACCACCAAAGGGAAAAACGCAGGCAGTGCACAATGCAAACAATGCTGAATCCTCAGTAGAAGTGGTTGATCATGGCAATAAGGATTGGAGTGTAGTGATTTCTGAGGCAGTGCAAAGAGAAATTGGAAGGTTCACGAAAGGAAAATTCCCAATGGATGCCGGAAATGATCATCAAGTCAACTTTGTGCAATTCCAAGACTTTGCAGGTAGCACCATTTTCACTTTTCTTAGTTCAAAGCTTTCTGATTATATACATAGAGGGGCTTGGATATCTGATACTGGTGCTACCAGCCATATGTGTGCCATATTACCTAATGGCAACATTAAATTTGTTCATTCTTTAGGAAATTATGTTTTGAGTTCTGCGATAACTTTGACAAATTGCTTATACGTGCCTTCTTTCAAGCAAAACTTGCTTTCTGTGAGAAAACTTGCTCAAGATTCTCATATTTACTTCAAGTTCTTTGAATCATTTTGTCTGCTATAGGACCTATGGACCCATAAGGTCATTGCAGCTGGTAAGGTGGTACAAGGACTATATATACTAGACAGAACATCATTTTCACAGAAGACCATTTTGCAGTCTCAAGCCTATTATGCTTCCTATATGTTGTCTTTTAGACTTCCTTCTGCTATAGATTCTAAGGGTTCTATCCCTAATAAAGCTTTTTATATTGTTTCTCTTGATATATGGCATTATAGATTAGGTCATCCATCCTTAAATGTAATGAAAAACATAGCTGAGATTCTTCCTTTACAAGGAAAGATAATTGTAATGTGGAACATTGTGAAATCTGTTCACTGTCTAAGCAAAGTAATCTTTTCCTTCAAGGTGTATTAAGACAACTCGTTGTTTTGCTATGTTGCATATTAATGTATGGGGACCATATAAACAGCCCTCTCTAAATGGATCTCGATTTTTCTTGACTATAGTAGATGATTATAGTCATTGTGTTTGGACTTTTCTATTCAAACATAAATCATAGGTTTCAAATCTTATCACTTCTTTGTTTTCTTACATCAAGACACAATTCAAAAGCCAAGTCCAGATCATCAGGACGGACAATGGCACAGAGTTTCTAAGTGATAAGTTTCAACAAAGCTTGCAAGCATTAGGAATTATACACCAAAGAAGCTGTCCTTATACACTACATCAAAATGTTGTTGTTGAAAGGAAACAAAGACACATTTTGCAAGTGGCTAGATCATTGCTGATACAGTCCAATCTTTCTAAAACCTTTTGGGGGGAATCCATTATTACAGCTACACATCTTATAAATAGAAATCCTTCTCCTTTACTTAACTGGAAGTCACCATTTCAGATTTTGCATGGCTATAAACCAAACCTGTCTTATCTTAGGGTGTTTGGTTGTCAAGTTTTTGCTATTGACCTATCCCCTAGTCCTGACAAATCTGATGCACGATCTTACAAAGGGATTCTAGTAGGTTACCCTTGAAATCAGAAGGGTTACAAGATTTTTGTACCTTCCATAAATGTCAAATTTCAGGAAAACATCTTTCCTTACAAACCTAATGTTGAATCTCCTGTTTTAATTCCAGATATCATCAATGAAGACAATGATTGTCTGGATGATGATTTTTCACCTTTCTTACAGCATCCAAAAAATACCTTTTCCCCTGATCATACTCAAACCAATTCCCATTCTCCTTCACCAGCATCAGGAACTTCAACTCATTCCAACTCTCCATCACCTTCACCCTCATCTTCTCCTCCTTTACATAATACTTCTTTACCACCAGTTAGACATAGCACCAGAGTAACTAAAACTCCAATATGGCTTAAAGAGTTTGTCAGATTTACTCACTGTTTGACAGCTGCAGAATCTGTTTTGACTATCTCTGATGCATCTGACATTCCCTCTCCTTATTGTGTATATTCTCCTGATCATATGCATTTCCTTGCCAATATATCTGATGTTTAAGAACCCTCTAGTTATACTCTTGCTAGAACTAACGAAAAGTGGCAGGAAACTATGAGATTGGAGTTGCAGGCATTAGAGCAGAATGATACCTGGTCAGTGACAGATCTTCCTCAAGGTAAAAAAGCAGTTGGATGTAAGTGGGTATGCAAGGTGAAGTGTAAACCAGATGGCTCAGTTGACAGGTATAAAGCTCGTCTTGTGGCAAAGGGTTACAGACAAATAGGGGGAGAAGACTTCACAGAGATTGTCTCCCCAGTTGCCAAAACTGTCACAGTGAGGGTGTTGCTTGCTCTTGCAGCTTCCAAAGATTGGTGTCTTCATCAATTGGATGTGAATAACGCCTTTCTACATGGAACATTGGAAGAGGAAGTCTACATGTTGCCTCCACCAGGTTATACTAACATCAAGAAGGGCCAAGTTTGCAAGCTAAATAAGTCCATTTATGGTCTTGAATAAGCTTCCAGGATGTGGAATAATGAACTCACAGACACTTTGGTTTCCTATGGTTTTCAGCAATCTCCAAGTGATCATTGCTTGTTCACCTTAAATCATGGACAAATCTTCATTGCTTTACTGGTTTATGTGGATGACATCTTGAGCACAGGTTCAAATGAAGCTGAGGTAATCAAAGTCAAGGTGTTCCTGGATAAATGTTTTACCATAAAAGACTTAGGTCCAGCAAAATATTTCCTTGGGATGGAAATAGCTAGATCTCAAGAGGGACTGTTTGTCAGCCAAAAGAAGTATGTTATGGATCTTCTTAGGGATGCTGGCATGTTCGATTGTACGCCTGCTAGCACACCTTTTCCACAGGATCTCAGGTTTCCTGATGAATCAAAGGATACAACTCCCTTGCTTTCTGATCCAGGATCATATAAATGTTTGGTAGGCAGACCGCTTTATCAACTATAGAAGACCTGATTTGACACATTGCATTCATCAATGGAGTCAAATTTGTTCATTCACCTCATGCTTCTCATTGGCAAACTTCCCAGCATGTTCTTCGTTATCTCTCAGGTTGTCCACAGAATGGTCTGTTCTACTCCAGAGACAATTCTTTCACTATTACAGCATACAGTGATGCTGATTGGGGAGCTTGTTGCACTAGTAGAAGATCTCTGAGTGGATATTGTATATTCCTTGGGAGTAATTTGGTTTCTTGGAAGACAAAAGAACAAGGAACCATCTCTTGTTTAACTGCTGAATCAAAATATACGGTTATGACAGTAGCTGTTCGTAAGTTGCAATGGTTGAGTTACTTGATGCGTGATCTTCGAATTCCAGTAACCTTGCCTATTGATTTTTTTTTTATAATCAGGCAGCTCTCTATATAGCAGCGAATCTCGTCTTCCACGAGAGAACACAACACATCAAAATAGATTGTCACGTTGTTCGTGAGCAATATAAGAAAGGCTTCATCAACCTTCACCACATTCGCACTACTGAGAATTTGGCAGACTTTTTCACAGAGTCCTTATCATTCTCTGTGTTTACTTTCTTACTTTCCAAGCTGAGCATGTGTAATCCTTCCCAGGCTAAGCTTGAAAGGGGGTGTTGAAATATTCTGATCAGGTTGCCTCAGCTCCAAACGGTGGCGTTTCTTTTCCACCGCCTTCTGGAAAAGCTTCCCGCCAAAATGCTGTTTCAAGCAGTGCACGTGATTCATCATCAGATCAACTTGCACATAGAGATGTTGAGCTGGAAAAACAGAATCCACGCTCTGAATCTTCTTGGAGAAGCAAGAAGCTTCGCGAACCACCTTGAATCTG